TTCAGTTTAGTCCTGAAAATGAAGAAAATAGTTTCCCATTGAATAGAGAGCTCGTGAATAATGGTTGCGAAAACGAGTCGTCGATAACGAGTCTATCGGACAGTCGCCGGACGAGCACTTTCGACATTACGGAAGTCAGTTCTATCGCCGAAATGCGTTCAAACGCTTCTTATGCCGAACACAGAGAGTCGACGGCCAGCGATAGACTCACTGTTTTGGAGACTAACGATTGCGGCATTGGTTTAAACATTTGTAACTATATATTCAAATTGTCGGCCGAAGGGGACAACACTTTTGCCAAAGCTGTCGATCACTTCATTCAATGCACACAAGAAACTAACGAAACGAATCCTATTATGTGAGTCTAAAATTCATTTATTAATTATTTAGTAATATATTGACGAATGATTTGATTTTCGGGTTAAACAGAGTGTTGCGAAACATTAGGCAATTCATGAATGGGATGAAGAACTATCTCGTAAAACACGGTGAGGGAGAGCTCAACCAAATGGTCGAACGGGAGAGGACTAAACTTAAGTCTAACGAGTTCTTGAACATTGACGCCATATTGGAGAGCGCTTTGCATCGACTCGTCATTAAGCCGTTGAAGAATTTTTTATACCAACTCTTCATCAATGAGTACAACCGAAACGGTTCGCTAAAAGTGTTGTCGCGAAACATAAAAGAGGCGCAAACCAAGAGTCCGGAAGAGTTGGGCGTTCGGCCGGAACTGTTGCCCATCGACCACAAAGTGATGGCAGAGATTCAGAAGCATTTATGTCGTCTGCAACAGTCGTATTCACCCCTCAAAAAGTTGGAGTATTTATTGTCAAGCTAAAGTACGTAAATATTGTCGCAAGCAGTCGTGGTCTTCTTCGCGTTGTGATTACTGAGAAGGCCAGTGGTCTTCTCGCTTATGCGCAGCAAGCCGCGGCTGGTGAAGGAGGGATAGAAATATATACTGTTAATCCAATGCGGGGTTATATCCATTGAAATAGAGGCCGACTATATGTTGGGTTTACTTCACCCGTCAATCCTCTGCGGCGAAGGCGGCTATTATTTAACGACTTTGTGTTCTTGCGTTCAAGTCATCAAAAATATGCATCAATTGAGTGCCGAATCCAATACAATGAACAGCACAACCGATTCCAACGACGACTCAGTCATCACTTCAAACCCAATACCCGTTCAACACATGAACAGCTCTTCCAGCGAAACGAGTGTCACCTCTGGTTCTGTTGGGCAACACTCGCCGTACACACAGATAAAGATGCCGATGATTGTGGACATGAAGGCCTATATGCGAGTCCTAATACCGGATGAGTTCACATCGAGTATATCCGTCAAAACACTACCCGTTCGGCAAAATATGACCGCAAAAGAGATTTGCAAAATGATTGCTCACAAGATTAAGATCACAAACCCGGAAGACTT